GAGGGAGCCTAGGAGGACTTCATCACCCACCTACATCTCCAGACCTTTTTTTTTTTTTTTTAAATGCATCCTTAACATAATCAGCCTTGAAGTAATTCCATAACATTTCATGTACAGTTTAAGAATGGTACCACCAGCCGGGTGGTAGTACACAACTGTAATCCTAGCCAACCTGGAGGCTGAGGCAGAAGAATCAAAAGTTGGAGGCTAGCCTCAGCAACTTAGTGAGACCCTGTTTCAAAAAAAAGTCTGGGACTGGGGTTGTGGCTCAGCGGTAGAGCGCTCGCTTACCACATTTGAGGCCCTGGGTTCGATCATCAGCGCCACATTAAAAAAAAAAAAATAGAATAAAGGTATTGTGTCCAACTACAACTAAAAAATAAATATTTTTTTAAAAAACGATTTTTGAATTGTTGATGGACCTTTACTTATTTGTATGTGGTGCTGAGAATCGAACCCAGTGCGTCACATATGCTAGGCAAGCGCTCTACCACTGAGCCCCAGCCCAAGCCCCAGCCCAAGGACGCATATTATCAACCCTAGAACAACCACCAAAAAATAAGAGGTATAAAAAAATAGAGGAAGTAAAATGGAATTCTAAGAAATTAAATGGGGTTAAAGTGATTTGCTCTGGCCAGTGAAATACAAGTAGGTGTGATGTGCATCACTTATGGGTGTAACATTCGGATGCCAGGACTTGCCAACTGATGTTCTTTATTGCTTTGTGTTGAAATGTCAGGATCATAAGGTGGCAGGGGGTGTGCACTGACTGCAGCACCTCTATCCCTGTCCACCATGTGACACTGACTAGACACAGCATGAGAAATAAACATGGTGTTAAGCTTGAGATTTTGGATATTTGGGAAATATACTTGCTTTTTTGGGATAAAAATCCATTTGGTCACTGTGTGTGTGTGTGTGTTTAATGTATAAGTAATAGTTTACAAATAATTGACTGGTATATTCTTCTGTTTGGGCACTGGGGAATGAACCCAGGGCCTCATGAATGCTAGGATTGTGCTCTACCACTGAGCTACATCTCCAGCCCTCCTTATTTTGAGACAGGGCCTCAGCTAAGTTGCTCAGGCTGTCCTTGAAATTGGCAATCATCCTGCCTCAGCCTCCTGAGTAACTGGAATTACACGCCTGTGCAACTTCACCAGGCCTTGGTATTTTTTAGAAATTGGTCTATCATTTTCTCATTCACATATATGCTATCTACTGGATTTTTGATAGTAAATGTAAGAACTTTTTGTAGCTTTTACATTCATCACTTTATAATAGTTTGTAATTTGTTTCCTATGCTCTGGAAAAGCTTAAGGAACACCAGAGGTGTCTGGTCCTTAAGGTTAATAAAATCCCATCAGCTCAACTGAAACTGGAGTATCTTTTTGGGGAAAAGGAGGTAGTTCTGTCACAATTTTCTTGAGTTCTTTCATGGAATAGGTCTGCTTGACTTTATCTCTGTGAATGTCAGTTTTGGTAAATTATATTTTCCTAGAAAATTGAGCATTTGATCTATATAGTCTAATTTACAAAGAATTATATAAAGGAGATGATTTATTTCTTCTTTTGATGAGTATTTTCTTATTTACTATATATTTATACTTCCTCTACTCTTAATTAGGTTTTCTAGTGATTTTTATCTTTTTTAAAAATGTATTTATTTCACCATTTTTGTGTTCTAATTATTCTATTCAGTTTCTTGTAATGGATATTGTTGTTAGAAAGTCTGATATCCATTCTCTTAATGGGGGACAAAGTCTGATGCAAAAAAAAACAAACAAAAAAAACCCCAACCAATAAAAAGTGACTTTTTTCTTTTGGGTGTAACCCATCTCATTTGCCTAGGCCTAGGCCCAGAGATCTTTTCTTTCTTTCTTTCTTTGGGCAGCACTGGGGATCAAACCCAGGACCTCGCACATGCTAGGCGAGCATTAAGCCACATTCCCAGCCTTCTTTGTTTCTAAAGTCTAATAGTTTTAGAAGGACTTGACACTTCTGAATTGACTTTCCCAATCAGTGTCTTTATGATACTTATTATGATCAGGGGGTTTTCTTTTATGAGGGGAAGGGGGATGTTCTGAGGTGTTGCTTTAAATATTAATTTTGTTCCTTTTTTTTCTTCAACATAAAATTCAGCTGGGTATAGTGAGCATATCTGTAATCCCAGCAACTCAGGAGGCTGGAACAGGAGAAGTCCAAGTTCAAGGCCAGCCTCAGTTACTTAGTAAGAACCCATCTCAGAATCAAAAGGACTGCAAATGTAGCTCAGTGGTAAAGCACCCCAGGTTCAATCCCCAGTACCAAACACACATACACAGTCATATATGCATATATAACATAAAGTCACACAGTATATATTGTATAATAATATAAATTTATTTATGTTAAGACCTAAACCTATGAACTGAAAGCATAAAATGCCTAGAAGAAAACATGAAGAAAAACATTTGTGACATCAGATATGGCAGTGATTCCTTGGCTAAGACTCAAAGAAAGCATAGGCAACAAAGGCAAAAACAGAAATAGACTACATCAAACAGAAAAAAACTCTGCCTAGTAAAAGGGAATAAAGAGAATGAAAGGGTAATCTATGAACTGATGTATAAGGAATTAATGCCCCAAATACATAAAAACTCCAATAACAAAAACAAAAACCCAATTAAAAGATGGACAAAGGACTTGAATACCTTTTTCTGAAGAAGACCTACAAATGGCCAACAGATACATATCACTAATCATCAGGGCAATTCTTATCAAAATCCATTAGTCTGGCTACTACATAAAACAAATGAAGCCATGAAATAGCAAGAACTGGTGAGGTTGTGGAGAAATTGGAACCCTGTGTACTGTTGGTAGGAACGTAAAATGGTGCAACTGCTATGAAAGACAGTATGGCATTTCCTTGAAAAAATTAAAAATAGAACCCACAGGACCCAGCAACCCCACTTCTTGGTATAAATCCAAAAGAATGAAATCAGGATTTCAGAAGAATCTGAACTTCCATGTTCAGTGCAGCATTGGTCACAACAGCCAAGACACAGAAGCAACTTAAATGTCTAACAGACGAACAGATAAAAACATGGTAAAAACATACTAACACTTTCCAGTTATAGAAAAGGAAATCTTGCCACTGGTGACAACAGGGAAGGACTTGGAGGACATTTAGTGAAACAAGCCATCCACAGGACAAATCTGCATGGTTCACTCCACTCTTACGAGGTATCTGAGTCTAGCTCATAGAAGCAGAGAGTAGACCGTGACTGCTGGGGCTGGAGAGATGGGGAAGAGGGGAACTGTTCCAAGCCCCTTCCCCTCTGCTTCTCCGCTTTCCTGGGGGAAACCTCTGCTGATGTTCCGAGTTCTGCTATGCTGGGATTCCTCCAACTCATGGGCAAGTTGCTCCTTCCCCTGTGGCTAACTACTTCCTGTCTCAGACTCACTCCTGGACTGAACCTGGCCACCTGTACTTGTTTCCAAGGACTGCTGTTCTAGCTACCACAGACTTGGGGCTCAAAACAACAGATATTTATTTATACTTGCACAGTTTTGGAGGCCAAGGCCCCAAATCAAGGCGTCACCATGGCCAGATTCCCAGCAGTCCCCAGTACCCTTCAGATGCAACTCTGGGCTCTGGACACTTCAAGCTTAATCAAACACAACCCCTTCTCTTGAGGAACACATAACAGTGTAAAAAAACCCACCTGGGCCTAAAACACAGCTAGGTGGTGAACGTCTGGCTGGTGGCTTGTGCAAGGGGCTGAGGAAACCCCTGGGGTACCAAAACCTAGTGTGCTGGGAAAGAATGAGGAAGGCTGCATGTGCAAAGCTGGTCACAGAAAGCCCGGCATGCTCAAAGAAAGAAGAAACCGGACAGCTCAAGGCTCAGCCCCTTGGCCTGACCCTCACCACGGCCCCCGACTTTCCTGTGTATATCAGTGTATCACCTGCGAGAATGAGCACATCCAGCTTGCTAGCTTGTTTGGTCACAAAGTGCCTAATTGAGAAAGACCTGCCCAGGGTCTTTCTCCATGAGGACATGACCTCCAAGGCAGTCCTTTGACCCCACCACTGCCTTTCAGACTGGGGTTTTGTTACTGTTGCATTGTGCCTGTGGTGCGGGGATCCAACCAGGCCTTAAACATTCTAGGCAAGAGCTCTTCTACTGAACCCCAGCCCCAGCCCCTCTTGCCCAGCTAAGATCAGTCCTGCTTTCTTCACATCTATCCCAAGCCCACTCAAAATTCATGTTTCCTGCCATCTCATCAGTCCTTGGGCCCAGCCACAATGGCCAGTGGCTCACTGGACCATGCCTTGGAAGTTATTGGGTCCGCTTGAGTCTCCTACCTCCTCCTCCACCACCACAGCTCCCTCCTGGTCTGAGTTTCTAAACCCTCGAGAGCTGGATCCAGGTTCTAAAGCAGCCTCATCAGCAGGCAGGCTGAGGCACCATGGGATCCAAATGCACAGGTTCTGTGACAACGATATTAGCAGCTCAGGAGCTTTTCTGGGCTTAATTCTTGATGAGTTAGAACTCCCAACAAGCAATCTCCATAAAAGAGGGGTTATTTGTCCATTCACTATGTAACAAATGAGATGTCTCAGATTCTCCTACTACAAGACTCACCAAAGCTCAGGGAAAGTGAGATTGTGGCAGGATAAAGGCTACAGGATCTACCTTTTTCAGTCGATTTCTTTCAGAGAGACTTAAAAACATTAAGGAGCCAACAAACTCACAGGGATAGAAATAAAATTTTTGTAGAAAGGTTTCATGTAGTAGAAAAGTCTCCAACAAACAAAGTATGAATAAAAGTTGAGCCACTAGCTCTATTTCCGTTCACTCACAAGAGGGCACCAAGCAGGTCCTTAGCTAGCAGAGTGACTTTGCACAAGGCGGTGGTGACCCTCTCCTTTCCTCTGTTTCTTATTTAAAGGGGAAATAATAGGAGGCGGCAAATATTTCCAGCTCCTGAGATTTCAAAGTGACCACTTGCTTCTTTAATATAAATATCAGCTTTTAATATATGAAGGACCTTCCCCTCTGGGCAATCACACAATTTCTGAATAAATACGGTAGGAAAAAATACACTGATAAAACTTCATAACTTTTTTTTAAAACAAAAAAGGCTTGAAAATGCAGTAAGAAATAAGTCTAGTGCTCTTTGTACACCCTGGCCTCCATGTCTTCATTCATTGCTCGCTGGAAGCTGCCGACAAAACTTGGTACCAGCTTCCAGATGCCACATGGCCACTCAGACTTTTCACGCTGCAGCAGCCCCCAGTAAACGAAACTCTGTACAAGATGATCCTGCTGCTCTTATGTCTGTTCTCCCCGGGAGAAATTCAGTTTGCAGCCAAATACATCTAGCACAGTCCTTGTCCCATCACACTGCCAAAGGCCATGTGTGCGGAGCTCTCTCTCTGGAGGGCCCTCTGCTAGGCCTGCTCGTTGGCTCCTGAGCCTTTGCCTGCTGCCTGGGATTCTGAGGTACGTGAGGCCTGCTTGGGCAGGCGAATGGGGACATAGATGTTGGAGGCACAGTGCTCCTTGAAGTACTCTCCTCCCTTTTCTTCATAGTCCTTCCTGGTGATCCAGGCTTCATCGTCGTCCATGTGGTCCAAAGCCCAGTCACGAGCACCATACCAGGCATCCAGCACGGGGTTCGAGGCAAGCTGAACCTGAAATGAGACATAATGCTCACTAGAAAGATGCCTCCAGGAGGCTCAGGCTCCCAGTGTGACTGCAGTAGGCTCATCTACAGTCCCACAGTCCTGTGTGTCCTCAGAAACATGTACAGGAGGCCCCAACTCCCCCTACCTCTGCACCTTCCAAGCAAAGCTGAACTGAAGCACCCAGATTCTCCAAGAGTGCACAAGATGACACAGGGCATGGGGCCCAACTCACAGAACAGGCAGTCCTTTACCAAGGCAAAGCCTGACACTCTGGGTCAGAGGGATCAGCTGGCCAGCCTCCTGCTTCACACTGTTGTCAATCACAAGCTGCCAGGACAGAGGTGAGGTGGAGGCTGGTACAAGGCTGGCCACAGCAGTGAGAGAGTCGTGGGAAAAATGACTGCTGAGCAGGTAACCAGGGTGTTCTTTGTGATGCTGCCAATGCTCAGTTCCGATTGCTCGTGTCAGAGTGCGGCTGGGGGTCGGCAGCTCTGTGAGGGTCCTCAGCTAGCCTGACCTGACCGTTTAGGGAAATAAATTGGGAAATAAATTTCTGGAACTGTCTGCCTCCTTTCCCACCATCCTCTCTCCTCCTCTCTCCCCAACCCCAGGAGTTCCATGATGTGGCAGTGTTTTAGAACTTCTGGAGGGCCAGGCCAGGCCACATGAAGCAGGATCAGCATGCACAGAGACAGAAGGATGGGACAAGAGACGTTTGGGCTCAGAGTCTGACTGCCCAGGCTGCCACAGAGGCAAGGGACTTGTGAAAAGTAACATTTTTGTAAGATTGGACAAGAGCCTCTGCTGCTCTGGCTTAGGAAAAACTGGTGAGAATGAGTACAGGGTGCTTGGTATTCTGTCTTGTAGAATACTGAATTAAGGGTAGCTATCATTATCACTAGTAAGAAATGTAGCAAGATCTACCGTTAATAGAATATTACAGCCATAAAAGGGATACTTTGATAAAGGAAAAACTATCATAATAGTTTGAAAGTGAAAAACACTATATGAGTTACAAAACAAGCTATTAGTGGTGTTTTTTTTAAATAAAATAATACAAATGATAAGAAAATGACCTGAAAATATACATATAAGTAATTTTGTTCAGAGAAACTGTATCTAAAAAAACCTTTTTCTCTGCTTTTATTTTGTCTTATGAAAAAGTCTGATATCTCAGTAATGTTTTAAAATATTTTGCTATGTAAGAATCCTTTCTCTTTCTCTCTTTTTTTATAGTGCTGGGGATGGAACCCCAGGGCCTTACAGGCAAGTGCCCTAATACTGAGCTACACCCCCCAGATCCAGAAATTATTTTTTTAAGGAAATAAGTAAATACACATTTTGAAGTCCTCCATCTTCTAAAAATCACGCAGGGTCTAACAGTACTTATATTCGGGGCACTGCTGTACACATCATCTGCACTTAGAATTGATGGGCTAGTGATAGCATGACACACACTGGCTACATTAGCAATGCAAAAGGGAGTGGCGGAGGTGGGCAGAGGAGAGGGGGTGGACCATGACACCAGAACAGCTCTATATAAGGCTGGGGGAGAGCTGGCAGCCACATTCCTACAACCAGTGCTTACAAAGTAACCATAGGAAAGGCTCTGGGCTTGCCAAGCAAGAGATCTTTAAAATCCCATGAGGTTTTTCTCAATCACTTTACCACAGATGGGAAGCCAGCACTGAGTCAAGCCCCTGATCACATTTCAGAATGCTGCCCTTATCTTCAGTGATGTTGCCCCTTCTGTCCTCCTGCCTCTTGGGATGTCTTTCCTAAGTGTCTGTTGTGTTCTACTGCCCTCAAAGGCTGCTGTGATTTAACACTTGATCCTTGACTTCACCTCCTCTCCCCAACAGTGCCCTGGGCTCCCTGAGTGTACCCTGCTATCTTTCTCCTGAGCACTCACGCACTAGCTATGGCCAGCTCTTTCTGTGTGTCCCACTGGAAGCTTGACCCACCCTGGAAACAGAATGCAGTTTCCTCCCTTTCAAGCCTCTTCTTCCTCCCATAGTTCCTAGTCCAATGAACGTCCTATTTATCAAACTAGTGGCTCCATATAAAACTTGGGGAGTTGTCTTAAATCCCACTTCTCCCCCAAATCCACAATCAGTTCTGATCACTTCATCCCCTTATCTCTCTCAAGTCAATCCCCTTTCCTCTCCCTCTGGCAATGCCTTCTTATTTTCTGTGAAGCTACCAAGCAACAGTCTGTCAAGGGCTGGAAACACCTATCAAAAGGCAGACACTGTCCCTTCCCTGTTGGAGGTGAGTTTGGCAAGGGCTATTGACAGGGAAGGCTCCCTGGAGGAAATGACATATAAACCAGCAACCAAGAGAGAATAGCAATGAGCTGGAGAGTGTTCAATGTAAAGGGAACCATTAGATGCAAAGGGTCCAAGGCAGGAAAACAAGGCTTATCTGAAGAACAAACTACCTGCATCACAGATGAAGGCCGACCTTCTTAGTAGGATGCACAGGTCCTGCATCCTGTGGGCCTGCTGACTTCTCTTCCTCTCTGCCTGCATTCCTTTTTAGCAGCCATATGCTCCAGCCACACTGTTACTTCTCCTTCCCTCAATAAACTTTTGCCCCTGCACCTTTGGGCATGCTAGTCCTTCTCTTGGGAATGATCTTGCCAAGCTACCCCACACCACGTTACATAGACAGCAAACACATTTACATCCTTAAAAGATTCAGTTCCATGGAGCCTTCCCTGAACACCAATGGAAACTTCTAGGTGCCCATACTTGTCTGTCCATTCCACTCCAGGTTATTATGGCTCATTTACTTGACTGCCACCCTCAGATAGTGAATTCCTTGCAACTGCAGGCTGTGTCCAGGATATCTCAGCATCCCTACAGTGCCTGGTCCAGGATGGGGGCTCAGACTATGTTACTTGATGATCAAGGATTTGGTAGGACAACTGTGGGGCACTCATTTATATGACAGCCATAAAATATAGTACTTTAGAAGAATAATGACATGGGAAAATGTTTATGATAGGTTAGGGAAATTCAGGTAACAAAGCAATACACATAAGTGCAGGAAATTTATGAAAGGCAATCTCCTTTAGGCAGGGAGAATGACTTATTCTCACCTGTGTTCTGACATCTTTGAATTTAATTATGTGCATGTCTTCCTTTTTCAATTAAAAAAAAAAAAAAAAACAGTATACAGAGAATTGTTTCTCATTCTGCTTTAAAAATTAAACATAGATTAAAGACCAGAATAAAAGTCACAAAAATGTCAATAGTGGATACTGCTGATGATAGAATTATACAGCCATTTTTCTCCCTTAACTTTTACTTTTGCAATCAGAAAATAATTAATGCTATTTTTCCAAACAGCTTAAACAAATAGTACCTGGAAAGAAGACTGAAAGGGTCTCATCTCCAGCAGTTCCTTCTCCATTCTGGCTTTCATCCCAGGATACATCACATTCCCACCAGTGAGAAAAATGTTCTGGACCAGTCTCTCCTGAACTTCCTTTGGGTACCTAGGAGAGAAACGACCCTCCAATTTAAATGTTCCAAGAGACTAGAAATGTGGAAATGCAAGCTCTTGGTGAGAAACAGAAAACAGCTGCTTGAAAAGTTAAGATATATAAAACCAAAACTGTTATTTTTCATTCATGTCACTCTATAATGTCAGCCCAATGTTTCCAAAACCTTACTTTGAATGTTCCACTCATATCTTTAACATGATTAAATCTTTTGTGCTTTTGTAATACGTTTTTCTAAAAATCAACTTTACTGAAGATTAATTTACATATTCTTTTATAAAGGCTAACAAATTTATGTACTCCCGTAGCCATCACTCCAATTAAGACATGGAACATTTTGTCATCCCCAAAGCTCCTCTCCCTGGGGTTGAGGACTCATCTCTCCATCGGTCCCTTTTTTCGTTGGTTCATTTTGTTTTCTTTTTGAGGCACGGTCTTGCTATGCAGCCCAGGCCTCAGCCAAATGAGCAGCCGGGACTACAGGCAAGCACCCCGACACCTGTTTTTTTGGGAGGTGTGGGGTGTTTTTGTTTTTTAATAACCTCTTTTTGTTATTCACTTTTGATTACTTTCCCACCCATCATTAAGACATATAGCTCAAAGCCACTAAGAGTAACGGCAGAAGTGCTTTTCCATTTTTTCATTGCGGGTGCACTTTTCCATCCTGTTATACCAAAAACAGCCCGCAAACTACAAATTACATTCCCTACTTGTGCAACTTGAGTCATGGAAACTCATACTGCAGGAAAACGCCTTTGGAAGTGGGTGGAGGGAGGCCCACTTTGGAAATGTAAACTCTGGTATAAATGCAATGTCCACAGGGAGGAAAAAAAATCCTTCATAGGCACTGCAATATTTTTGGGGTGATTTAAAATCTCCAGTCTTCAGGATTGTGAAGTTTCATATGAAAGCCAGTGCACGTTACCACACTGTGCTGATCTAAAGGAGTTCTTCTCGCTCCTCACATGAGCTGAGCATTTACATGTTCAGAACACAATCATAGAGCCCACGCAGGCACAGGCATGTGACAGGCCAGTCACAGGCCTAGTGACAGCACAGCAAGTGAACAACACCAAGAACAAGCGCATTTCCCAGGGCTCAACCACCATCTCTCCAACTCAAAACCCAAGGAGGGCTACGGCTGTAGCTCAGTGGCAGAGTGCTTGCCTAGCACGTGTGAGGCACTGGGTTCGGTCTTTAACACCACATAAAAATAAATAAATGATAATTGAAAAAAAAAAAGAAAAGAAAGAAAATGGCTCAAGAAAACAAGTGTCACCATCTTACCTGTCCAGAATGTACTGAAGCGTCTCCGCTATTCCCGCCTGCTCTTCTCCTATGAGCGAGGGCTGGAAAATAATTTCTGGAGCCCGGATTCTTTCTGTCCCAACAAACAGCTGATGATATGCTGCCAAGTTAAACACGGGCTTTAAAAACCCAAGGTTTAAGAGAGATTTTTAGGCCATGATGACAACCGTCCCAGTTGCCAGTTTCCTCACCTGCACCTCTTATTCCAGTGTAGTTTCTGTTCTCTGTGCATGGCACAGCAGCGGCTCTCCAACTCTCCTGACATGAAGGTCCAGTTTTCTACTTTCTTTCAACCTCTGAACTACAATTCCTACACACTGCACTGTGCCATGGTCCCTGAGTTGCAGGGAGCATGGCAGTGAAGGGAGGGTGGCATGAAAGGCCTAGCAGAGAAAACCACAGCTCCACCCAGGGCCTGCTTATGTGTTTCAGTCCCTGCACAAAAAGAACACTCCCTCCCGGGGGGCCTCAGATGAGCCAGTTTATCCAGGTGTCACTGTAATGACAGAAATGTACACCCTAAAGAGGATCTACTATTCCAACACTGGCTTAAATGTAGATGAAACCATCAAAAGCCAGTTTATAGACCTCCAGTTACTGGCCTATCCTTTCTCACAGACTGGTGCTGGAACCTCAGTCAGTGCTGGGGGGAAAAAAACCCTGACTGATGTGGTAAGCACCGATGTCCCCTTCTCTAAAAAGAAAAATTGGGACTTCAAAATACATGTATCACTAAGAAGCAAACTGGCCTTTGTGTCAACAGTTTCAGTGTACACAAGGACATGGAGGCAGGTGTCAAACCTGGACAGTGGTGACAGGTTTCTCCACTTCTGGTGCTTCCTCTGAAAACAAGGGCTCAAAATCATTCATGCTTTCCACATCTTCTAGAGATGGCTCCAGTGGCTCCAGGTCAGGGGTCTGAGGACGAAACAGAACAGCACAAACAAAACAAATCAGAACCAATATCTCCAGCAAGCCCATTCTATGAGTTCACTGTCACAAAAAAGAACTAGAATCTTGCCCAATGTTCCAAAAGCCTATGTCAAAACTATGAACATTTTTCTACGCTATTTGAACAAAAGAATACACATGAACAAATTGCAAAGCCAACAATGGGCTTTGCTTTCATTGTCTGCCTCTCCTACTTATACAAGCCTTGTCTCCTGCCTTCTCTGAAGCTTTCTAATAGCACCAGCTTCAGGCTGACGCCCCTGAAGATATGCTGCTTGCATCAGTCACACCATCATACACACAGCTATGGGGCAGCACAGTGTGATAAGGGGTGCCCTCCAAAGCAGCTAGGCTACCAACAAAAGGTAATCAATCTATCTATCTATGGTACTATGGAGCTGTGCACAAGCTAGGCAAGTGCTCTACCACTGAGTTACATCCCCAGCCCTTTTTCTCAATTTTTAAATTCTGAGACAGAGTATCAGTAAGTTGCTTGAGGTTGGCCTTAAAACTTGTGAACCTCCTGCCTCAACCTCCTAAGTCACTAGGATCACCAGCATGCACAAGGTCTGGCTCAAATTAATAAATACATGTGCTGACATTAATGGGCTTAACAATTAGTCCCTTAACGGCAGGTCCCTCTGGACTGGAGATGTGAGCAAAGGCTTCCTTCCTATTTGTGAAGTCCTGCAGCACAAGCTTTTCTCTTCAATGACAATGACTTGAGTGGGGCCTGGGTGTGCTGACACCATTCCCAAAGGAGGGGTCACGGAACTTTTGTTTTCATTTTAACCTGGAGAAAAGGTGGAGGTAGTGGTCCCACAAGATGTCTTCAGTCATCTGTCATTCTGCCATGTGAAAGGCAGGTAAGTCTTCCTCCTCTAACCTCAAAGGATAGAAATTAGAGGAAGAAATATCTTGTTGCATCCCAGAGAAAAATGCTCTATCGATGTTGGTGGGTGCAGAGCAGGCTGACTTACAAGGTGGTGTCTGGGGAGGGCTCTAGCAAACCCAGTAACCAACAGCCACAAGAGCCTGAAAGAAGATTCCACACTTAATTTGTGTTCCAAGTCCCTCCTTTTTCTCAGAATCTATGGAATATGTGAATTACCAACACAATTCAGAGAACTTAAACATAATCCTCTACGTCCTGTGCACATATATTGCAAATGTAGACTAGCAAATTGGCAATGTCCCTCAATACTCGCCCCCCACACTCACACGCCCAAAATCACACGGCATATGTGGCAAACAAAATGCACAACAATGTGTTCCTGATTCTGTTCAATTTAAATGATTTGACCATGTATAAGGGGCATTTCCCAGGCTTGAGTGTAAATCCTACAAAGGAAAAATAGTACTTCATCGGAGACCAAAGGACCAGATGAGAAACCTAGTTTACAAAGAGGTAATTCAGGGAGGACAGGAGGTAGGTTATGGACAAAGCCTCTGGGGTCTCAGTGAAGGAGGTCATGGGTCAGCTCATGGGTCAGGAAGCTGTGGCTCAGGCAGAATTAACTCACATAAGTGGTGGAAACATGGTAGGGGAGAGAACGGCTCAGCTCCAAAGCTTTGTTCTGCCTTCAGCTGAAATTCTATAAATCAGGAGTCTTGAGTGTAAGGAAATCAACTAAGGCTTTAGGAATAGGAAAAGACCTAGCTTGAGGCCAGAGTGGATAATAAAAAAAGAGATGAGCAAGAAGTCTCACCTGCCCAGCAAGTCTAGCTGACCTAAATGACATGCTCCTTTGCCCAAGCAAGAGGAACATTCCATTTGACTACATAGTTTGTAATCTGTAAGATGCTGAGCAAGCCCTGGGAGTGCCTATGCCTACTCTGGAGCATTAACCCAGCTCTGAGAAAAGACACAGGGGATCCCACAAAGATCAAAAGTGGATCACCCAAGTTCTCTTCCATTTGAGGCACCCAGGAACCAGGAAGCAGTACGATATAAAGAACAAGCTCCTGTTCAGAAAAATCCTTCTTTCCTTTCTTTTAAGCACTCATCTGGCCCCTTCAACAATTCAGTTGCATTAGTAGAATGGAGATACACAAATGCTGTGTATCTAAAATAATGACAGACAAAACTTGAGACCTCCCCCACAATAGTAGCAAGTACTGGGGGGTTCCACTCTACTCCCCATGCCCCATAAAGGGGACCCTCCCCGACAAAAAAGAGGTAGTCTCAGCAGGAGTTCAGGAGGACTCCAACAGAAACTGATGCAAATAATGTCAAGTGACTTCTCCAGCACAGTCATGACAGGAAGTGATGAATGCATGCAGCTTCCTTCCACCTTCACTCCCTGAAGTGTGTGCACCATGAACACATCTCATGGAAGCTTCTTCTTGGAAGCCAGTCACCCCTCGCTGCAAGAGGCCCTGTCTGGAGTTGGGGTCAACAGTCTTTTCTGAACCCTGTCTTGCGAGTTGCCCCAGGCCAGATGCTAGACAGTTAAGTGAAAAACCCTCCAGGTGACTCTATCCCCAATTTTTCATGTCTTCCCAGCCCAGGCATCACAGAGCAGATCTGATCTACTCTTCCAGAATCCCTGACCCATTAAACCCGCGAGGACAAATGAATGGTAGTTGTATTACACTATTAAGTTTAAAGCAACAGATAAGTGAGCCATGCTTCAGTGGTGCAGGAATACAGAAAGCCCTAGACAGCCACTAGGAACCCTCCTTTACCTCCCAGCTTCCTGGTGCAGTGCTCACAGCCATTGTCCCAGACCCTTCCAACACTCTCCTCTTCAGTCCCCTTCCTAGTATCAGTCCTGAGATTATTAGCAGATCCTTTTTGTTGCTTTAAAAACTGAACTTCCTACTTATTCTCCATTTGACCTCCTTTTCTTTTTTCTTGTCCTTTCATCCTTCCACCAAAGGATAAAGGTACCATCTTCCATCTGAGGTCAGGCTGACCATCTGTGATCTTAAAACTCTACGAACCTCTCTGATTTCCCTATTCTCTGCAGGTTTTGTCTCAAACAGAGAGCTGGCATTCCCAGCACTCTTCTCTCCCTCCCAGCAGAGTATTCTCCTCAGCTGAGTCCTGGAAAGCTCTCTGTTCTGGGCTCTCTGCCCTTCCTTTGAGGCACTCAGAAGGGCAGAAACCTTATATTTTTTGTCTTTTTAGGAACCTTATCTTAATCACCTCTGCATTCCTGATGCCTGGCATACACTAGGTGGTAGCGCCCACCTTCAAATTCCCCCAGAACAAAGACTATAAAATTTTGGGTTTCAAAAGACTTCTTCAGTTACAAGAAAAACAGCATCATTTACCTTTTTCCAGCTACATTCAAAGCACGTCACCTTACAAATAAAACTTATTAGCTTCACTAAAAGTGGTTTAAAAAATTTCTTTATGCTAATTCATACAATTCAGAGAGGAACCAAGCTAGTAATTTCAATGCAAACATGCACCCCACAGAGGAGAGTCCTGTTGGCTGACTACACCCCCCGCTCAGATTCTCCAGGGTCTCAACATGTACTATGTATTTCAGGAGGGCTAACACAACTGTTCCTTTGGAACCAGATAGATTAATAGTCTGCCAGGGATTTCAGAAGCAGCAGCAGGGTTTCCTGGAATTTTCTTGAGCAGCGGAACAACAGGGACCAACTCTGATCCTGCTAGTAAAGCCAGAGAACTTTCTGTATTGGCCCCACTGTGTTTTCCAACAAATGATGACATTCTAAATCTGCACACACACACACCCCCCAATGCTGTGCCTGTGGCTGAGAAAAGTAAGCATCTTTTACTTTAACTACTGCGTTAAGAATGCTAACAAAGCCTGCTCCTTACAACATTCTCACAGGAATAGTTTCAGAATACAAACAACTAGAACATATTGGTCTGTAGGAAAAATGGATGTTGGGAAACAGTGTAAGTTTTAAATTCCCAGTTATATAAAGCCATTACTGCATAAGTGGAGTTTCACAGGAACTTCAATCCACCACCTATTCACTTCATTCAAAGTGAATTATATTGTCGGAAAATACTTTCTTGAAGGTAGAACTTGTTAACCAATCATAGCTAAATTTATCCCATGAATTTGACTGTAATTGACTCTAGTCACTAACAATCACCCTCAATAAATGCTGACTGACCATTAAAGCTTCAGTGTCAGCAATTCAGTAAATCTGTTATATAGAGAAGGCTCTTTCGAAATACAACATTTCAAAATCTCCCCAAGTCCAAAGCATTCTGATGTGTGTCCCCAGAGCACAGAACAAAGGTATATAGGGCACATAGGAAGAACCTGTGAATGAACAGAGGAGCACCTGAATCACAGCGTGTAACAAATGCAGAAAAAGGAATAAAGAAAAGGAAAACCCAGTTCCCCCAACTGCTCAGGAATCACATTTTCACAGCTGTTCGTTTTTAACTTTTTAAATCTGAAACTCCTCACCTGCATGTGGCTTTGTGGCACCTCTCTAATAAAAAGACACTTATGTCCCACTGATATGCTGAGCATGAGGAAGACTAAATATGGATGAACACTTAACAGAGACAACATGGATCTGGGTTGCATTAAACCACAGGTCAAATCTGGGGGAAGCCACAAAAAGGCACAGTGATTCAAGAGAAGCTGATCCGGGTGGAGGAATGAGGCCAAAGCCCTTCCTTCCCTAGATCGTAGTGACCAGAGAGGGGGATCCAGGAAGCCTAGCTCAGGATGTGCTCTATAAAGCAAGCATGCTCACGGCTGGCTCAGTCCTCAGTTGCAGCCTATCAACAGAGGGAGAATGCAAGTCCAAGAGCAGAAACTATAGTAAAGTAAGCTTCCTGCTGAGCCAAAGTTGGCTGTGACCTCACTGATGAGCACCACACCACACAGGGCATCAAATGGCATTGACTCAGATCTTTCTTCAGTACTGTTTCTAAAAACACAAGTAATCAAGAGTTTTTAAAAAGCTGATTGATTTAAAAACAAAAAAACAACAGCTACTCTCGTTAATCCTGCTCAAACATGTCATAAGACAATAAGTAAGTTCCTTTGTTTTGGAATTCTAGGGATGACAAATTCAGTTATATTGTATATACTTAATAGTACTCTGTTCCAGTTCTACAGACAGGAGACCCGGCCAGTGACTGCTGGGCTGAATTGATATAGGCTATCTGTTCCTTCACTATGTAGGCCCCAAGGTATCAGGTCTGGGCTACCCAGGTCCTCAGCTCAGTTCTTCTACCTGCCCTTGTGGTCACACTAACACCTACTATTAACAGTCCACTGGCAGAGAACAGAAAGGAGCAAAAGGAAATTAAAGAGCTTATTCAGAGGAGTTAGTCTTTAGTATCTAATTAAAAAATGATCTTGGCTGGGGTTATAGCTTAGCACATGCGAGACACTGAGTTTGATCCTCAGCACCACATAAAAATAAATGAATAAAATAAAGGCATTGTGTCCATCTACAACTAAAAATATATTTAAATCAACCTGTAAATGTTTTATCCAGCACATCTGCCAGTTATTGTAAAAAAAAAATCCATAAACTTGGGCTGGGGTTGAGGTAAAGCACTCGCCTAGCATGCGTGAGGTGCTGGGTTCGATCCTTAGCACCACATTAAATAAATAAATAAATAAATAAAAGATGTGTCAGCCTATAACCTTTTTAAAAACAATCCATAAACTGTGTATAAAGCATGAGCCCTATTCTCAGTTGACATCAAGATGGAAAGAGGTAAATGAATAATCAACCATGATGTACTGTTAAATGACAAAGAAATAGGTTCAGGCTCAAGGAGCAACACAGAACTGGTGTGAATGTTCTTCGTAGTTCACATTCTGTTGCCCGTCGTGGGGTGAGATCCCTCTGGTCAGAACTTCACTGGTACAAATCTGCCATGGTTACCTCCATCCATGCACCTCATCCAGCTGCTCTCTCCCCCCCAACACCTAGTCACAACGCCTTTGATACCAGCCTTAAGGCATTCCTCCCTCTCAGGAGGGCTGCTCTCTCTAAATGACCCCACTGGGTCTCCCTCTCAAGACCTTCAGTCACCTCTGGCTTGCTGTCCACCACATCCACCTCGAGGTTGACTTCTGCTTGAAGGATTTTCTGTTTCGCTTGCTCCACTGCTGCACTGAGCTTCTGTATGTAGGACTGCAGCTCTTCTGGGGAGTCCATGTTCAGCTCTATCAGAGCTTTGTGAAACTGATCCATCTGTCCATCCTCTAGAAGTTCCTGAAACCAGAACAGTCATATACACATAGTGCAATCACAAAAAGGAAGGAAAGAGAAGTAGCTTAAAAGCCAAAGAAAGTAGAAAGTAGAAAGAACTGCAGCAGGAGGAGGTTCCCAAGGTCCCCCTAGCCTGCCTTCCACAGACTTACACTTCCAGCTCCCCCAAAAAAGGTTCAGATGGCTGCCCTCCTCCCCTGCTGTTCTGGACTAGGATCAAAGCCTGGCTAGACTAAACTAATCTATAGTGACAGACGTCAGAAATGTTGTCATCTTTACGGGGTAGTTATTGGTGAAGAGGAGATATGAGGGAGGATGGTGATGCTATTTCTTGACTTGAGGGCAAATACATGGCACATATCACTTCAAGAAAATTCAACAAGATGCATACTTAGGATCTGAGCACATTGCATCATACATACTACACTTAAAAAGTTAAAAAACAAATTATCTGGGCACAGTGGCACATGCCTGTAATCCCAGTGACTTGGGAGTCTGAGGTAGGAGGATTACAAGTTTAAGGCCAACCTGGGCAAATCAGCAAGACCCTGTCTCAAAATAAAAAATACAAAAAAGAGCTGATGATGTAGCTCAGTGATAGAACATCCTTGGGTTTAATCTCCGGTACCAAAATAAACAAACTAACTAACTAACTAAAGGAGATTATAAGGCCAAAAAAAAAAAAAAAATCAATGAAGCTGGTGTCAACAACTCTTTCAGAAACACCTATTGCCATACTAGACTCTGTATTAATGATCTCAGTTCTAATGATCCCCTTGGGCTCCTCCTTAACCCCAAGAGTGACTTACAATAATCAATTTCTTTTATTTTAAATACTGGTGATTGTACCCCTGAGGTACTTAGCCACTGAGCCACATCTCCAGCCCTTTTTACTTATTTTTTAAATTTTATTTTTTAAATTCTGAGGGTCTCACTAAGTCGCTTGGGGCCTCATTAAATTGCTGAGGTTGACCTCAAACTTGTAATCCTCCTACCTCAGCCTTCCAAGTCACTGAAATTACAGGCGTGTATCATCATGTCAAGCTTAATCAACATACTTATGGCTAAGGAAAAATTCAGAGGAGAAAATTCCTTGGGACCACCTTCTTAAGTGAGGCCAGAGACCCATCCCAGCATCTGCTGTCACCTGAACATAGAGTAGTCGGTCCAGTCGCTCCTGATCCAGCTGCAGCTTCTCCTCTCGCCGTCGGGCATTGAGCTCCTGCAGCCGCCGTAGCTGCTGCTGCCGCCTCTCCTGCTTCTCCTCAGCGGTCAGAGTGCTGCCCAGGAGCTTGCTGGAAAATGGAAGCTGCATCTTGTGGACATTGTTCTCATAATAATCAGGGCACTGCCACTTTTGCAATTCTTTAAAAAAAGAATTTTAGAAGTCATGAAATGGAAACACTAACAACACAAAAATCAAAACACAAGGATTTCGGATGCAGGTTAAGACGGAGAAAACACCATCCAGCCAATCTCTGAATCCACTCAATCAATTACATGCTGCAATAAAATGTGGACATATTGCCAGCAGACCTGTTCTAAAAAAACTGCTAAGTGATGTTGTTCAAATAGAAATCGTACCAGAAGGAAGCCTAGAACATCAGGAATGAAAGAACAGCGATGGAAATTATGAAAATCTGGTTAAACCCAACACACTAATCTCCTCCTGAGTTCTTTAAATTAGGTTTGATAATTGAAAGTAAAAAAATCACATCACTGTCTGATGGGCTTCCAGCATATACAGATGGACACGTGTAAGACAGCACCAATGATCTAGTGTTAACATTTCTACATTCCATTTCAAATATCAATTCTAAATAGGCCATGAAAAGTTAAATTTACAATAATCTCAAAAAACTGCTTAAAAAAAAAAACACAGATACAGTAAAAAAGGAAAAAAAAACAGAAAAGTTAAAATGGAATTTAAAAATGTTCAAATAACCTAAAAGGCAAGAGAGAGAAACAAATAATAAATTGAGGGAAGAACAATATTAAAAATATAAAATGGTGAACCTAAATCCAAATATGAATAATAAATTGTAAAAAAATTGTAAAAAATCTGACACAAAGATTTTTTTCTTTTTGGTACTGGGATTGAACCCAGGGTGCTATACCACTAAGCTACATCCGAACCCTTCTTATTTTGAGATAGGGACTGGCTAACTTGCAGTTGGCCATGAACTCAAAATCCTTCTGTCTCAGCCTCCCTAACTGCTGGGATTACAGGCAAGCACCACTGTGCTTGGCTATAATGGACTTTTAAAAAATGACCTAACTACTAAAAACTTTATTTTGAATACAGCAATATTGATAGGTTAAAAGTTAAAGGACAAAAAGACGTGCCATGCAAGCCCTAATCAAAAGAAAGCTGGCGTGGCTTTATTAATGCTCAAGCAGACTTCAAACACAATTGCCAAGGATAAAGAAGGACAATACATAATGATAAAAGGTCAATTTGGCAAGAAGTTTGTTAAATATGCACCTACCAAAAAAGAGTAAAATACCTGAAAACAAAACTTGACAGAACTGAAGGGAGAAAAAGGAATACCCACAAGTACACCCAGAGATTTCAATTCATTTTTCTCTATTATCTGTAGAGTTAATAAATGGGAAGTAAACAGAGATACAGAAAAACAGAGCAACACCTCAACCAACGGAAGCTAAGTGACAGCACAGGACACTCTCCAGAATGCATATCCTTTTCAGGAACTTATGCCAGCTGGGCTTTGTGGCACTCGTCTATGATCCCAGCAGCTCAGAAGGCTGAGGCAGGAGGATCCCAAATGCAAAGCCAGCCTCAGCAACTTAACAAGACCCTGTCTCAAAATAAAAAATTATAAAGAAGGGCTGGGGTTGTAGCTCAGTGGTAGAGTGCTCACCTAGCACATGTGAGGCACTGGGTTCAATCCTCAGCACTACATAAAAATACACATAATAAAGGTATTGCGTCCATCTACAACTAAAAAAAAAAAAAAAAATTGGGTTGGGGATATGGTGATTAATGCCCCTGGGTTCAATTTCCAGTACCACCCCCGCCCCCAAAAAAGTAACTTCTGCCAAAGTTGACCAGACCCTGGGTTATCAAACAAGCAAATTTAACCTATATTAGACAAAGAACTTTGATCATAACAGAATTAAGCTAGAAATAAATCATAGAAAAATAATAGGAAAATCTCCAAATGCTGTATATAAAGCAATCAATTGCTTAAAGAAATTTAATCAATTGCTTAAAGAAGTAGTCTTGAAGAAAACTGGAAAACATTATAATTCAATAAAAATGAAAATATATCAAAATTTGTGGGAAACAGGTAAAAAGCAGTGCTGTGAGGGAAAACTGCAGAATTAAATGCTAGGCTTTTTTGTTTTGGTGGTGGTTGTTTTCAAAAGAACATTCTCATAACAATCTTAAGTTTCAAGAAAAAGAGGAAAATGAATCAAGCAGAAAAAAAAAAAATAGAAGAAACCAATGAGGTTACCTAAATAGTCCTGTGTCTATTAAAGAAATTGAATTCATAGTTAAATGCCTTTGTAAAACGAAATCCTTAGACTCAATGGTTCTCCTAGAGAAGTCTACCAAACATTTAAAGAAAAAAACATAACATCAATTATTTACACCATCTTTCCAGAGAGTAGTAAGAGGCAGAGCACTTTTCAACTCACTGAACAAGGCCAGTCATCACCTTAACACCAAAATAGCACAAGAAACCATATACCAATGTCCCCCATGAAACAGACACCAAAAAATCCCTCACAAAATAGTAGCAAATCAAGTTCAACTATACATACACAAAAAGAGTAATACACACGAACAAGAAGGTTTGTCCAAAAAAACAAGAATGTTCCATATTCAAACACAATCATTATAATCCCCCACATCAACAGTCTAAAGCAGAAACAATTCAACAGCTTTGAATCTTCTAAAGTTAAACATACATTTACCATGTACCCGTACATTAGTATGTACAGTAGCTCCAGCCACAACCACCAAAAACTGGAAACAACCCAAATGACTATTCATGATGAATGGATAAACAAACTGTAGTGCCTCCATATAATACACTACAGTTCCACAATACAAAGGAAAGAACCACTGAGATCCTCAACAATTTGGATGAATCTCAATGGCATAACACTGAATGAAAGTTTCAAAAAGTTACATATCCTATTTATATAACATTTTGGAACAGATGAAAATTACATTAACAAAGAACAGATGAGCAACTGCTTGGGATGGGGACAGAATATGACTTATAAAGAGAAAGCCCGAGCGAGTTTCTTGGGATAAAAGTATACACAATTGTGATAGTGGATCTATAGATGTGTTAAATGCACAGAACACACCCCCCCAAAAAAGTCAATTACAAAACAAGCTGATACCAGAACACCTTGAGAACAAAGAAGGAAAAGCAGAGAGAGCTGTGTCATCTGACAAGCACCTCTCTGGCCTGAGGGTGCTCCCAAATTCTTTGTCAGACTGCGTTTATGCTGCTTGGGACTGAACCCAGGGCCTCACATGATAAACAGACACTCTACCATTGAGCTACAGCCCTAGCCCCACAGATTCTTTCTTTTTATATGTATTTCTCTAATTTCTTTTATCCCAGGAATAACAGGTACTTGAAGACACAGCCCTTAGCCACTACTGTACTCTACACTTAAAAATGATTAAGATAGTAAATTTTACGTTATGTGGTTTTCACCAAAATTAGTTTTCTTTTAAAGACAGTGTTTGCCCTTCTGGAGCTTAGTAGTAGTAGTCAACTGAAGAAAAGATCTTTAATGTCAAAGAGAAAACCCATCCACACACTAGGTGTGGTGGTACATGCCTGTAATCCCACTGAATTGGAAGGCTGAGGTGGGAGGTTCACAAACTAGGGCCAGCCCCAGCAACTTAGCAAGACCTTGTCTCAAAAAATAAAAAGGGCTGTGGATGTAGTTCAGTGGTAAAGAGCCCCTGTGTTTAATACCCAGTGCCAAAAAAAAAAAAAAAATTAGAAAGTGAATACCAAAAGAAAAAGGGGGTGCTAAAAGAAATAAAGAGTAAAAACATAAGAAAGCAAGAATCTTAATAGCTTAGAACACTCCAAAGGTCACCAACATCCAAAAGCTGCAGCGGGCAAAGTCCTCTCCTTTACCTTCCCCGTAGTCCTCAGCAATGTAGCTGTGCTCATGCAGGATCTCCTCCATGCGGCTGAGAGTGATGGCCGCCAGGTGCCCCGGATACTTCAGTTGGAGGAGTCGCTGGAGGTAACCTGCTGCCTGGCTTCCTCCAAGATTGATGCGTTTGCAGTTTTTGGCATCTAGCCTACAATCAAGAAAATATATATTTTTTGGCAACACAGAGAAGAGACTATGAACTATCTTGGAAATAGAATAATTTAATGAAGACAAAGAAACGGACGAAAAGTGGGGGTGGCATAAAACTTTACAGCTGCTGGGCACGGTGGCACACACCTGTAATCCCAGTGGCTCAGGAGGGTGAGACAAGAGGAGAGAAAGTTCAAAGCCAGCTGCAGCAACTTACCAAGATCCTAAGCAACTCAGCAAAACCCTGTTTCTACATAAGATAAAAAAGGCTGGGGATATGGCTCAGTGGTTTAGTGCCCATGGGTTTAATCCTTGATACCAAAAAAACAAAACCCCTACAACTGCAAGAGACTCAAGTCCTCTTAGTCCAACCTCTTAACCAACACAGAAATTTCCACATCCAGACACCTGGCCATCTAATTTCTGGCCAGTCTCACAAGGAAACAGGTTTAAGAGAAAAAACACACTCTCCAAAATCAGACCTTTATGTGACTCATCATGTATTTCCCAAACTATGGTCCTAGAACCATATCCTAGAATTAGCTAGGAAAATGTTAAACATGCTGATTCCCAGGCCCATTCGTTCTTGGGTGGGCCTGGGAATCTATATTTTAACAAGCCCTTCCAGAACTCCTCCCCTACAAAATCCACTTCTACTAATGCAATTAGAGTAAATAACAAATCACCTATACGCTTACTGGCACTGGCATCTTCTAAGGGCCAGATCTCTTTTACATGAACCAAAGGTTCATGCAGTACTGGGGATTGAACACCAGGGGCACTCTATCACTGAGCAACATCCCCAACCCTTTTTGGGGGGAGACAGGGTTGCTAAGCTGGCCTGAAACCCGGGATCCTCCTGCCTCAGCCTCCCAAGTTGGGATGTTACAGGTGTGTACCACCTCACACAACAACTTTAGGCTCCTAATGTAAGGAGAGTAGCAGAGCATTGGGAATTTGCTGCATATCCAAACACTGCTGTTCAATCATACTTCACCAGGAGATGGCAGCACAAAACAGGCCATGCACCAATCTGAAAATTCCTTAGTTCTCAGATAAAATAATTTTCTCTCAATAGAATATACATGGTTTCTTTAATTTTTGCATATTCTGCTTATATAAACTATAGAATTCCATACTTTGGAGAAGTTTGACAATGCCTAACTTCTGGTTTTACAGATTTTCATGGAAACTTTGAGAGTCTCACTATAGGTCTCAATAAACTCAATGGCATTTGTTTGCCTTAAATATTCAGACTGCTTTACAATTTATAAAGTACCACCACCCATATCACTCATTTCATCAAGCCTAGAAAGTTATTTTTTTTCCAATTTCACATGTGAGGAAACAAAGATGTTAAGTACCTTATCTTAGCAGGGTTGCAAACCCGGGCATTCAACTCCAAGGCCAAGGCTCTTTCCCTATAGTGTCAACTCCTTACGCAATGTGAGAAGCATAAAGCTGGCCTAATCTCTTATAGGACAGTGAAAGAAAGCCAAACTATCAAGTGGGAATAGACAAACTATCTTTGTCTTTTATTCAACTCAGAAATTTTTAATAAATGCCTCTATCAGGTACTATAACCGAACAGAAAGGTATGAGTAGTGATCAAAGAGTTTAAAATTTTTAAGTCTAAATTAAAAAGTATCTACATAACACAAAGTTAGTCTAATTAAAATTTTTTCAAATAATTTATTCAAAACATTTTTATTGAGTGCCTATTATCTACAGATACTATGTTAACTATCTTCCCATTAGAATTATAAAATTCTAGAACTATGTTTAGACCTAAGAGACCATCTCCTCCAACTCCTTCCAGGAGGTCACAAAGGTCAGGCAAAGTGACGTGGTCATACAATGATGTAGGTCAGAGCTAAGCCCAGCTCAGTTTATAGACTAGAGTCTAGTACATGCTCTTTCCACTCCAACTTTACAGTAAACACTAAATGTTTACTGAAAGCTGCTTTGGGCAGGGGAAAGCTGAGGATCAAACCCAGGGCCTCATACATGCTAGGCATAGCTCCCTACCATTGAGTCATCCTTGGTCCCTGAATGCTTCTTAAAATACCACTCAAAAGTCACAACCCACCTTCCTTCTAAGATGGGTAAAATATGTGTACACTGGTATCCAGATGAAATGATGAGCCCACAGGAAACTGAGTTCTTTGGCTTATTGTGGTAGAAGCTGAAGAGGCTGTCTATTCCATAGGCAACCTTGGGGATCCTGTAGCACTCAAAAAGGAGTTCAGACATCATTTGGCGTGAATATAGAGGATTGCACACAGCTTCTGTCAAAACTATGGGATGATCCACACAACCCTAGTTTGAAAGAAAAGGGGAAAAAAATGAGTGATAACATAATACTCTTTAAAACATTAAAAAAAAAAAAATCTTAGTGCAGGGCAGAATTCACTTTTGATCCCTAATCAAAAACCTGACCAGAAACAAATATTAAAAAAAAAAAATCTTGGGCTGGGGTTGTGGCTCAGTAGTAAAATGTCTGGCATGTGCAAGGTTCTGGGTTCGCTCCTCAGCACCACATAAAAGTAAATAAATAAAGGTATTGTGTCCAACTTAAATATATGTGTGTGTGTGTGTGTGTGTGTGTGTGTATCTCTTGCCTCTACTGGAAGTAGTTTTGGAAAATATGAAACTTAAGGTTATTAAGTGAAAACTCATCCAAACTGTCAGTAAATAATGTTGACTAAATGATTATATCCAAAATACCTCTATCCAACTGGTTCTTTTCACATCCCCTGCTACTTATCTAAGTTGTCACCATCCCTCATCTGCTTTATTCCAAGTCTCCTAAGGGGTCTCCCCGTTTCCATGACAGTCCATTCTGCGTCAGCTATAGTGATCCTTTTTAGATAAAAATTGTGTCCCTCCTCTGCTTAATGCCTTGCAACTGCTCCCCAATTCACTGAGAGGAAAAACCTATAAGGTGTGCAATTTGTCCCCACACTACTTCTCTGACATCCTCTTCCTGGTTGTACCTATTCCAGGTACTTGCCCCCTCACTCCGGCCGTCCTGCGATTAGGATTATACCATACTCCGACTCAGTGCCTTTTCACTGTCTATTCTCTCTAACTGGGATACTTTTCCTTCATATATTCACAGGGCATGCTCCCTCAATTATCTCCTTCAAGTCCTTGCTCAGACATACTTTCCCCAAGAGTCCCTACTCCAACCACACATTGAAAAAAATGTAACCTCCTCATCTTCTTCTATCACAGCACTGACGTCTGTCTTTTTATACTAGTATTTTTCCACACTAGCTCCATTGGCACTAAAAGTTTTGTGCGATGTTCACAGTTGAATTCCAAACGCCTAAAATAAAATGCCTGACACAGGGCTGGTGCACAGTACGTATTCATAAATAAATCAGACACGAGCATATATGCCCTAACGTATATTCTATGGGAAAAGAAAAGAAAAGGCATTGTTCGATCACTACCCTAAAGCAGGGCACACACATTTTAAGTACTTAGCATGATCGACTAAGCAGAAGATAATCAGAGCCACTGGAAGCCCGACTCCCTCCTGAAAAGCTGCGTGAGCCCACAAGACCTCATCCCTCCCTCACGCCCAGCCCACCCCGCTTGCACCTGTGAGGAGACGCCCAGGTGCTGGAAGCTGTAGTCCAGCAGCAGCTCCTGCAGCTCCAGGTTGACGGGCACGTTGCGGTCGAAGGGCGAGCGCAGCATCCAGCGGAGCGGCTCCAGGCTGCCCAGCGCGTTGCCCACCTGCGGGCCCGCTCCGCCTCGCGCCCCGCCGCGCCCGCGGGCGCACACCGCGCGGAACTGTAGGCGCGGCTCGGGGCCCGGATCCGGCCCGGGGCACGCCCAGCCGGCACGGGCCTGGAACGACCCATTGTCCAGCACCAGCGGTAGGGGCAGCGGCCCGTGTGCCACGGGTCCGACCTCCAGCACCGGATCCGGCGCGGCTCGGGCGTCGCGGAACGGGAACACGTTGGCCGCCATCTTAGAGCGCGCCGTCCCCGCCCCTCGACGCAGCGTTCGCCCTGCCGCCGCCGCGAAGCCCCGCCCCCTACGTAAGGCCGTACGGCTTGCGCCCGAGAGGGCTTCAGAACAACCACCTCTCGCGAAGCCAGGCCAGTCTCTCTCCCTAACTCGCCCTTGGTGGTCAAGGTTATAAGCTTTCGGGGCCGCTAGGCCAAGCCCATTCTGGCCACGAATCCTGACGTTGGTTAACCTTGTCCCCAGCCCATAAGAGACCACGCCCCTTCGTTCTAAGCGGGGCTGCAGGCCAGGAAGCCCCGCCTCCAGCGCGTAGTGCCGCCAGGCTCCGCCCTTTCCGGCCTCTAGACTGCCTTTTTTTTTTTGGCTTTTGACTAGTCACGCCCCCTTGGCCAGGAGAAGCTCCTTATCATCTTGGGGTCCGCCTTCGAGTGCTTACCTTTCCCTAGCCCTGCAACTTGCTTAAAGGAGACCCTTTCCCTGTGACTATTCCCTCAAGCTGTCTAGGAAGCTCAAACTCTGGAGTATTGACAATGTTTATGGGACAAGAGCTCGCAATGCAGATGAGCTCACTTCGTGAAAAATTTTCAAGCGGTTCACTTATGATTGCTGCATTTCTCAGCATGTGTATGTTGCAATACAATACAAAAACAAAAAAACTTTATAATGTCACCAGGTTCTAGCCAATAGGGGTGTGAGTGGAGTTGATGTGGTCCACTCCCACTTTTAGCCCTAAAAGCGTTGGGCACACTCTCCTTTCATTTTCTTCTTCACTAGCTAAGGAGATAATAAGAATCAGAGCAGCTACCCTAAATGTACCAGCTCTGGAACACTCAGTTTTGAGGGACAAAGTCAAGTTGATTATACAAGAAAGTTCTGAATAGACACTCTGAGCAAGATAGAAGACCCTGAACCTTTCTCAAGAATCGCTGTTAAAGTTTCTGTACAGTTTTTCATTATATTAGGAGTTGCCCTTTATTTCACACACAGTCATGCATACATTGGAGCCCTCTTAATTGTATGAATACACTCTGATATTTGCAAGATGAAGTCACCTAACAGTGCGTTTCTCAGAATAGATCGCTATCATGAAGTGATGCATGACTGTACTTTCTAATGGAACCCCCGCAAACCCTCAAACAGATGTCTAAATATCCCTCAATTATTTAACTCATAAAATGCGGTATCAGTTTCTGCTTCCAATTAGGCCAGCTACCCAGTGCCTGTAGCACAGCTCTCATCCTGTGGTCTTGCTTTTCCATCATCTCAGGATTTTTTTTTTACTTGTGTGTTGTGGTCCCCTCTCCTGTCTCCTGAGTGCTTTTTCTTGGTGTACTCTCTTGCTTTGGAGTAGACTCTACAATAGTCTATGGAATGAATATAAGGGAGAGTATTAAGGATAACTTTTTGAGACCTTGAATGTCTTTAAGTGTCTTCTAACCCAGTGGTAATAATGTTGAAGGTATGGCTGAATTCTGGTGTGGAAGTCATTTTCCTTTAGAATTGAAAGCACTTTCCATTTTTTCCTTAGTTTTCAACGTTGCTGAGAAATGTGAAATTGACCTTTGACCTTTCATGTAAACATTTTCTTTCTCTGGAAGCCACTAGATGTTCCCTTTGCTTCCAGGATCCTGAAATTTCATGAATCTGTTTTCTTCCATCATGCTAGGCAGTCAGTAGTTCCTGCTTAATACAGCAAGTCGAGTGATGTAGATGCCTTCAATTCCTGATAATTCTATCTCTGTTTTCTATTCAATCTTGCTTTTTATTTGTGGTACCAGGGATTGAACCCGGGGATGCTCAACCACTAAGCCACATCCCCAGCCCTTTTTTCTATTTTATTTAGAGTCAGGGCCTCACTGAGTTGCTTAGTACCTCTTTTTTTTTTTTATTTTTAGTATCAGGGATTGCACTCAGGGCACTCAACCACTGAGCCACATCCCCAGTCCTTTTTTGTATTTTATTTAGAGACATGGTCTCAATAAGGTGTTTAGTGCCTCACCATTGTTGAGGCTGGCTTTGAATTCTCCATCCTCCTACCTCAGCCTCAGGAGCCACTGGGATTGTAGGCTTGCACCACCATGTCCAGCTCTCTAAATTTCTTTTTTTTTTTTTTTTTGCTCTTTTCCCCCCCCCCTCTCTCTCTCTCTCTCTCTCTCTCGGTTGTCTTTAAATCTTTTAATTTATTGAAATTTACCCACACTGTGTCTGAATATCAATCTTTATCTCTTTTTATCCTGATTTCAATTTTGTTATGTCCTTCGGATCAATGGTTTGTGTCTTATCTTTCCTCTTTCCTTTTTTTCTCTCTCTGGAACTCCTACTAGATATATGTTATGCCTTCTCTATTTTGAATTTCTCTTATCTCTTTTCCATGGTTCCTGTAGAGTTACATATCCCTACTCATGCTGATATTTATTCAGATATATCTTCTAATTATCCCTCTCTTCAGTGTTATTTATTGATTTTTAAATTTTGGTTATTACAATTTTTAATTATGGAAGCTGTTTTTCAGATCTGCTTGGGGTTTTGTGTGTGTGAATCTTGATCTTTTCTTGTTTCAATTTTTATGTCTGAATAATTTTAAAGATATTTTTCATCGTCTCAGTCAAAGTATTCTATTATCTGAAGAGTTTGGAAGGGTAATATTGTGTTTTTGCTTTGCTTTTGTCTGCTAACTCGCTTTTTGGTGATAGATTCCTCTTATATTTTCTGTCAGAACCCCATGTGATTTGGGGTAAGGACACTTTATACCTTTATACACCAAAGAATTAATATATATGCTTCTTTCAGATATCTTAGAAGTATTGACAGCCAGAAACTTATATTATTCCCTGGCTTGGCACTTCTAAACTAGGAAGAAAGTTAAATTTGAATTGTAAGTCAATGTTAGGTAGAAGGTCATGATTATTAGTTCTCCTGGGAACTGTTCTTTTTCACAAAAGACAACAAACATCCCAGCCATCTTCCTGTGCCTTAGAGAGATTGTTTTCAGTCATCCTCTCCATAAGCAAATGGTTCCTAGGAGGCCTTAGCTAGAATATTTGAGGTATGGATCTGACTCGTCAAAATCTCATCGCTGTCTCCCATAGATATTAAGGTGAAACTTCCAGGTTCTTGATGACATCAGCCACTCTAGGCACGCACTCGTGTGAATTTCACTCTGTTTTTCAGTTCTCTCTTGGTTGTTTTCATGTAAGCATTTCCTCCTTCCCCCACCCCCTTTTTAAAGCTTAGCCCTACATTTTAAAGGATTTCATATTAGGTTGGACACAGTGGCACACACTTGTAATCTCAGCAGCTCAGGAGGTGAGACAGGAGGATCGAAAGTTCAAGGCCAGCCTCAGCTACTTAGCAATGCCTTAAGCAATTTAGAGAGATTCTGTCTCAAAATAAAAATGGGCTGAGGATGTGGCTCAGTGGTTAAGCACCCCTGGGTTCAATCCCTGATACCAAGAGAGAAAAAAAAAAGATGTCATATTTGTTCCATCATTTTTAGATACCAGTAGCAAAGTGACTTCCAGGTTACCTATTCTCCGGTATTACTAAACCCACAAGTAGTAGTTTATTCCACACCTTGGTTATTTTTCACTTCTACCACCTTCCATGAGAAGCTCACATTACCTTTATACTTGGACTTTTGCCTGCAGGTGGGACGATGTAATGGTTGATTCAAATTTCCCCGACTTTTGCTTCTGCTTGCTTCCTTAGGAGCTCTCACAGGCCTTCAGCTATTTCTTTTCCTGCTAAAAACTCTTTTGGTTTTTCTTGGTCCCAGGAGACCTCCCAGATGTGTTCAGGGACTAGTCTTTTCACTGACTTTTGAGGTTCCTCTATCTTCTCTCACTGAGTCCTTCCATGAATGTACCAGCACTTCAAGATCCCATAATTTCTCATATATCCTTGTAGATAAGGACAGGAAGCTTTTCTCCCCTTTTATGTTTGACTTGAAGAGAAGATGACTCGGCACCCAGGGTATTACAGACATTTTTACTGAGCAGATTTATGTTTTGCCTCAGAGAACCCCTCTTCTGAAGGCTAGCCATAACTCCATTTTCTAGAGCAAATATCTAGATGAGTTTCAGGTGCCACATGGATTTTAGAATTGTCCCACTCCCAGCCTGTCTTCTCTATTGTCTCTTAGAATCATTTTCTCTTAGGAGGCTTGTCACTTGTTTGTGCAAGTCACCTGTAATAGTCATACCACTAGGTTGCTACACAGCAGCCCAGGCCAGGGTCTTTGCTCCAGCTGAGATCCCAGGTAAACTGACAAAGCCCCAGAGAGTGAAATGGGTCACAGGGTCTGGGAGATCAGCAGCCCCTTCAAGAACTTCCCTCTGCCCCATACGTTTAGGGGCATAACCACAGAACTGCCAATCATCCTCTGAGCCTCTGCCCTTGTATGCCCCCTGCTGGAGCTCACAGCTGGCAGAGGAGGTGCCCACAGCATCACAGTGGAATCACTTACATCTGATTTTTTAAAAGACCCAACCAAATTCTATGGAACAGAGCTCATCTTTCATGTCCAGCTTCAACCCACGGCTAGGACTAGCATGAGGCCAAATGAAGAATTTGCCTCAGGAGCAAAATTTAAGAGCATATAAAAAAAAATCAGTAAGCAAGATAAATAGTATTTTAAGGTAAGTTTAAAAAAAGGAACCACAATGTTCAAAATACTACGAGGAACAAAAACCAAAAATTGAAATAAAGACAATCTGGTTACTGCTGATATTTCCTTTTGCCTCAGGGTCCAGTGAGGTTCAACTTAGTCCTGCAATCAACTGACCCTGTGCTATTTAGAATGTCACTGTTGCTGGTTCTGCAATTTTATCCCATGAAATTGGGAGGGAGATATATTGATGTCTGTAACCCTGGAGAGCATTTTTTAAAAGATAGGGTTTTGGATAGATAAATGGATAGATTTTGTGTTGTAAAAATGTTAATCATTCAGTCCAGGTGGTGGGCATATCTATGTTCAGTATAAAACTCTTCCACCATTTCTGTATGTTAGAAA